GCGCGTGGTGAGTGCGAGCGCCGCCCTCCTCCGCCGGGGCCTGGGGCAGGTGCGGAGGCCCGGGGGCCCCGTCCGATCCCAGCGCAGGGGTGGAACTTGTACCCTGCATCCCCCCTTTGCTAGCGCTGGCCGGGAGGTAATCCCGAAATCAGGGTCTGGGGAATGCAAACAGCTTTCCTCCCGTATTTAACATAGGGAATGACATCTTACATGAAAGAGAAAAAAAAGAAAGTAGGGTACTCTCCCTTTTTAAAGTACAAAAATGTGTACTTACACATCTCTATGTATTTGTAAATGCACCGAAATAATTCTGGGAGGAAACACAAGAAACTTGTAATGGTAGTAGCCCGGGGAGAGCGACGGAGTATACCCAGGTCAGGTGAAGGAAGGAGATTTTTCTCTCTACGCATTCTCTGATCTGGTGTGGGTTTTATTCTTGAAAAACCACTCTTTTACAGTATCCTTTTCCCCGCACCCTTCATCCCCTACCCCCACTAGAACATGACAGCAAACCCCACACTCCCCTTCCCCCTGCTGCCTCATTCGCGGTTTCTTTGATTTCGTCCCTTCTACCTCAGGGTCCCTTCTAGCTCTTCTCCCAGTGAGACAGGGTTTAGCCACAAATTCCACTCGTCTTTTGGATTGCCCTTGAGTCTGGTGAAAATTTACTTACCCTAACCTTTGTTATTTTGAAATCTGGCTGTTCAGATAAACTACACAGAACTTGAGAAATATGCCGTCTGTGTGTTCTTCTCAAGTTGAGTATTTTCAGCAATAGGAACCTGTTTTACTATGTTTTAATATATGGGAATTCTGATTTTCTTCAAGGATCAATCTCTTATTTGTCATAGTTTGTGTGTGTGTGTGTGTGTGTGTTTTAGGAGAAGGTATTTACTACTGTAGTGGTTAGAAAAAATGCTAGGAAACCTTCCACAAGCCCCACTGTAAGGCTAACATTTGTTTAGCCAAGCACCTATACTCTAATACCTTTTAAAGTAAAATACTTTACAGTTAGATGCCAGACATCTTAAGTATCCAAGTAATTTATTTAATTGTTATACTCTAATTAGCAGGGACAAATGCTACACATGTTGTTTGTGTTAAACAGATTAGAGTGAAATTGCATCACAATGTAAGTCTGACACCTTAAGGAGAAGCAATTAGTTTTATGGTTGTTTTGTTTTTAATGCATTTAAAATAAAGTGGCCAAGGTTAATTTGATGAGTGTATGCGCCTTAAACTTGTTACAACCTCCCACAGCTCAAGTTCTTCAAAGGCCATCCGTAACTTCAGTGTCTGACTCCCTACGGTGTTCCTTTTTCCTACATGCATGATATTCAGAAAAGAAAAAGTAATGGCTGGAAAATATTCCAAGGAAGTTCTTTGTTTGCATGTATTAGCCCAGAGGTCCTCAAACTTTTTAAACAGGGGGCCAGTTCACTGTCCCTCAGACCGTTGGAGGGCCAGACTATAGTTTAAAAAAACACACGTATGAACAAATTCCTATGCACACTGCACATATTTTGAAGTAAAAAAGCAAAACGGGAACAAATACAATATTTGTATTTGCATGTGGCCCGCGGGCCATAGTTTGAGGACCCCTGTATTAGCCTATATATTAACTATGAGACTATTATTGTTATTACTTTTGGACATGAGCATTGAGCTGAGAAATAGCTGAGCTCAGAAAAGTAACATTTTCACGAGATGGAGCAAAAACACTAGTATAATAGCCGTTTTGGTTCTCGTTGCATTATAAATGTAATCTAGTATCATTCATATTTAGATAGTGCCATTTGTTTGTGCTTTTACAAGTAAAAAATAACCAGAAAAACAGTTTTAACCAATTAGTTTCCCTTCTATGTGGCAACTGTGTTGGCAGTAACCAAGGTCAGCCAATATGCTTTATAAATGGGTTATAAATGATCCGGATTGAAGGGTGTGTCTATCAATTAGTTCTCCTTGTGGGCTTCTTATTTATGGTTTTGATGGGCCTACCTTAGTTATCAGAAGTAGAATATTGAACCCAAGTTTGTTTAGCCAGCAGTTACAGAACCAATCACTGAATTTGAACTTGTATTACATTGCAAAATAAGAGATTTATGGTTAACTTGAATTCCTTGTCAATGATGAACATAACCAAGAGATCGCTTGTTACAAGGAACTTTTATAACCTACTCACCTTCATTTCACATGTTTATGAGGACTGGCTTCACTCATGATCTGCAGTTGACAGTCATAAAGTTCTTTGTTATAATGGCAAATTCTGATAACAAGTTTGCTTCACATTGGCTCAAATTCCACTGGAAACTGTCATAAATGCCCTGTTTCCAAAAGGAACCTTCCTGTCCCTAGTTTTTTGATCTGTGCATTTATGAAGAGAAAGGGGTGTTCTCCTAGGAAATTATTTTCTTTTGACCTGAAAGAAAGAAACCCTGATGCGTAAGGTTTTATATCTTTTCATCAATTTAGCAAAGCAATTTCTCAAATTGTTCTTCTGTCAGCCAAGCCAAGCATATTGACTACAACCAAAAGTCAAATTGATTTTTTTCTTAGCACTGACTTCTTAAAATGTTGTAGTGCTAAGAAGGCTTACCAGTGTCTCTTTGTTTTTATAACTTCTCTGTTAAGAGTAATGCTTAAAGTAATACAACAGGATGTGAATTGTAAGAGAAATTCAGTTGTGTCTTTTAAATTTGCCACCAAAGGATTTGGAAATCTCTGTCCTTTTTAATCTGTGAGTTTTCAATACATACTCAATTTTTCCTTCTTGTTGTGCATTCTTTTTTATAACTTCTTTTTTAAAATTAATTAGTGTAGCTCACTTACCAAATTCTGTGACCTTCAATTTGCTTTGTTTCCTGTATTTTCCCTGTAGTTTTTTTTTTTTCAGAAGTCATATGGCACCATTTTTTAGTTGCCCTATCTGGGTTATTTAAAAACAAATTTAGATTTTTTGCCATTCTAAGGAGGAACTTATACTAGGTTAAATTCTCATTCTTTATAATTCACACATAATTTAGGGGAAATAAATTCCCTTTAAAGATGTTCTGGGCATAAAGGGAATGTGGAACTCAGAATGATAGTAACAGAGGGTTGACCTCTGATTATAACATTTAACCCTTTGTGTGAACAAAAGTTCATTATTATACTGGCAGGGTCAATAACATATTAATATCATTGTATTTAAGACAATGCTGGCATTAAAACAATGCCATAAAATTTGCTTATCCTTTGCAAAAAAATTGCAAAAAATTTGCAAAAATTCAGGCAGCATTTGATCATGATAATTATGGAACCTATTAAAAATATACTTCTTTACAAACATTTTATACATTTTCCAAAATCCATTTCTATTAATAGATAAGTTTTTCTAAAGTTTCTGATTTGTTCCTCTGCACAAATCTTGGAAATATGAGCTGATTATCTTCAGTTTTCATGTGAAGTGGAGACTGTTCAAAGCCACTTAACATGTTGGCAGGCAGTTATGATTGCATTTCAATATCCTTACATTGGACTTCTGACCACAGTAGGTGCAGTTATTAGCCAACATTATGACTGTGTTTTGGTTATTCTATAATCTACACTAATATTTTGGAACAAATCAAATGTATGTGTGGGATAGAACACACTGTAAAACTTAAGTTTCTTGGTCCAGGAAGGTCAATCTATTTACACTTAAATTTTTTTCTCTCAAGGGACCTCTTATAATAACCAGGTTCATGCTTGTTGATGACAGGGATATGATACATTGAAGTATGTAGCATAGACATAAAAATCACTTATAACTGTACACTTACTTTCTTGTGCTTTCTAGCCTTCCTCCCGGCGGCTTGGATTGTCCTGTGCCAACTGTCACACCACAACCACCACTTTATGGCGAAGAAATGCTGAGGGCGAACCTGTGTGCAATGCTTGTGGACTCTACATGAAACTCCATGGGGTGCGCCACGTATTCTGCTCATATGTATACATGTGTAGTATAGTTTGTACATGGTTTCAGTTAAGAAAAAAGTCGGCAAGGAGAAGGGATGAAAGTGAAAATTTGATTGTCTATATGCATGTTATTGATGACAAGTTAAACTATTATCTTTAATAGCAATAAGAAACAAAAAAATGCTGTCAATTAAACGGCCACACATATTTGTTGTAAGACATCACAATATTAGAAAAATAAAAATGTGAAAAATGTATATTTTAGAATTGATAAAATGATAGTAACCCTTAAACTGCAAAAGAGGAAAACATGGAACCAACTAGAAATGCATAATAACTAGTTTATATTAAGTTAATTCTTGAATGCAATCAAATAAATTTATATAAAGAAGTAACATATGTATTTGATAGTTATAGTTAGAAAGATTGTATACTTCATTTTAAGGACAGCACAAAATATAATAAATATATCTATCTTAAAAAGGAAAATACCCTATATGTAGAAGGAAGAGAATACATGAGCTCTATGAAATGAAAATATTCAGTGGTTTTACTCAGTAATTGAAATTGTTTAAAGCAATAAACATTAATTGAAGGAATAATATCTCCCTGGCAAATCACCTCATTTTCCCTGCAGGAATCTGCATTTGATGGGGTCTTTGTACAGTTGAAATCTATTGAAAAAATATAAATGGTATTGCAATTTATGCCAAGTTCTTTTAAATGAAGGCCTTCAGTGCTGACACTGGTTCTTTGGCTAAAGTTTGGGTTTTCTTCAATATAATATTAACTGTATGGCCTATGTGAAATTTTTTTTAGGTGCCCCGACCGCTTGCTATGAAAAAAGAGGGAATTCAAACCAGGAAACGAAAACCCAAGAACATAAATAAGTCAAAGGCTTGCTCTGGTAAATATAATAAAATGCTATTTGATTGTTACGTATTTGCTAACCTTAACAGTAGAGTATACGTATATTTATGAGGCTAATTTTGACTGTTGCAGGCAATAGTAATAATTCTGTTCCTATGACTCCATCTTCCACCTCTTCTAACTCAGATGATTGCAGCAAAAATACTTCCCCTACAACACAACCAACAGCCTCAGGGGTAAGTGTTAAAATAGTATAGACTCTTCTAACCTAGTGTGTAGTCTCCAGTGTATTATCTCAAATTTTATCTGATAGTACAATAGTCTAAACCAACACATCAGTTTAGTTAGTTGATACCTAAGAATAGTTTTTAGAGGCAATTACATTTAAATGACAAACATAAGTACTTTGCAAACCTCTTAATTAAGATCTATATCATATTTTTATGGTTAAATTAAACCAAGTAAAAGCTAGAAGTTTTGGTTTGAAGTGCTTTTAAGTTGTTTTATTTCCAGGTTTTTATCTGCGTTTATATGTATTTCTAATGTAGATAAAAAAATCTGTCAGCTCAGTGGTTTCATATGCCCCAGAGCCCATGGCATTTAAATTGCTTTTGCTTATCCTATCAACTCTTGCTTTCAATTTTCTTTTCTCAAACCCTTGCCTTTGCTTTCCTTCCTTCCTCTGATCCCCCCTCCCTCCTTTCCTTTCTTCCTTTCTTCATATCTACCCCAAACATAGCTCATCATAATGGGTCAGGTGCTGCTGTCGTCACTGATCTTGCTTCACTTTACTGTCCTCTTGCTGGGAGGCCTGCCTCCTTTCAATGCACGTTAATCGCACCCAGGCTTCTTTCAGTCAGCCTTGCTATAAACCTGCGAGTGATTTGGTTTGTGAGTGAGAGTCTTTGTCAGGATCACACACAGAGTTTTTTTCTGTAAAGCTGTGATTGAAACTCAGTTTTTCTCAAGTGAAGAGCATTTTCCCACCTTGGTATTTCCCAAATTTATCTGGAATGTATGTATGTATGTATGTATGTATGTATGGAGTGCTCTTTAAAAACGACTGAGTCTCACCCTAGATCTCATTGAAATCCAGGGTGGGCTTGGGTAGCACGTCCCAGGTGATGGTAGGGTTATACTGAGGCTAGTATAGGATGACGCACCAGAATTAAAATCTCGATTGACACAATATTTTCTACAATTAATCTTGCCCTTTTAGGGGTACGTTGAAATACTAATGATTTCTGGGCCCCACCCCAAATTTTTGAGTCAGCGTCTCAAAATAATTTTGAACTGTGCTTAAAACTATATTCATTTCTCTTCGTCCTCTGACCCAAATTCATTTGGGCTTTTTCTTTAACAAAACAAGAAACTCAGTCTGAGATTCACAAGGGGAGAAGCCTTTCATTCCTTTTTGTTTGTTGCATACAGGTTGAAGGATGTTTCTAGCCTTTATCAAGGTGGACACCAGTGTATCATGTTTTGACAGAAGGGTTACATGCAGTAATTATAAAGATCTACTGTAGTAAGTAGAACAGTTAAGTAGGGAAATAAAGATGGAAATTATTTAAACATATTTTTTATTATGCCTTAAGTCCCCAGAAGCAATTATGTGGCTAAATGAGGCAAAACAACATTCTGGTTCTCCAGAACGTTTAGGGAGCAGCCAGGTTTTTGGCCGCAGTCACTTTTAGCAGAAATGAGGATGGCTGCCAGCTCCACGTCACTTCTGTTGGTGATACAGTCCAGCTTAAACTTGGCAGAGGCCAAATTTGAATGATAAATGGCAACGAAATAGGTATTTGCCAACAATGGGCTTTGGGGACTTGGAACCCTCGTGGGTGGAATCCATATTTTGCTCTTGTGGTTTTGTGATGTGAAATTTCAAAACTGGCTCTGCGCAAGTCCAATCGTTTGCCTTCCCGGGGGAGAAAAGGCAGTGACTGGCTCTGGCTCTGGCTCTGGTGTGTCTGTAAGAGGAACCTTGGGAGTTCTGCTTTGGTGTCCCAGTGTCTGTCACCTGGGACCCGGCACCCCAGAGGTGGCTTGCCAGCCAGTGCCCTGCGGAGGAACACTCAGTTCCCTCCTAAAGGCCAGGAGGCAAAGCAGCAGGATTTTAGAGACGGGGGATTTGAGAGCTGTGTCACCCACCCTGTAGTCTGGTCAGCCTCAGAGACCGGCCGTGGGATCTGCCGTGGGCCTCAGAAACGCTTTGGGACAGCTTTCCTGGTGGGTGGGGGTGTGTGCGGGGGGATTGCCCGCCAGCCTCCCTTCATCCCAGCGGCTCTCCTGGCCTGGCTCCACAGGCACTCGACTGTCATCTGGGTTGTGGGTTTTTCCTATGGATGGTAAGCCCATCAGGAAGGTCTCCATCCGCCCCTACCTGCCGTACCTGTCGTGGGGAACTAGACCTGCTTGGCAGAAGCCAGTTTTCTCGCTGCCTTTGGAAATTGTGCCCCTCTAAGAATAACTGTAGACTCCAGTGGTCTCCCGCTGTTACTACTAAGGAGTGCCAGTGTGTGCCCGTTGGTCCCTTAGCACTTTTCAGAGCCTTCTCTGGGTGTGAATGGCCAGTGTGGCAGCAGGGGAGCTGTAAAGAGCATGCTAGAGGAGTTAGTCTGTGAGCTGCTGGCAGAAGCATTTGTGAAAGGGGGTTGTACTGACAAAGATGTGTTTCCCCCCCATTTTGATCATGGTTTATGATGTTGGAGGGCAGTTGGTGTTGGCACTAACCACTTACAGGATTTTCTGAAGGATTGGACGTAAGGAAAATGTAATATTCACATAGCAAGGTCGGATCTGGTACGTAAGTACATGGCACCTTCATGGGCTCAGTGTTTAAACTTCCTATGTGGATGGGTGATGGGTACATCCCATTGATCTCCAGGGGCTCCTTTGGTGGAAATTAGGGTTATCCTACCTTAATAGGGCCAACTGAGCTACAAAACAAAGGACAACCTTAGGCACACTCCCAGGAACACAGGAACTGGGGCCACCTGTTCTTCCACTGAGATGTAAATGGCCGCGTAACTGCTCCACCGTTCCTTAATGATGGCGAGTGACAGCACGGATGTCAGACCGCTGCAGCGGTCTTAATCAAAACTGCTGATTATTTTCATCCCCCCTGAGAAATCAGCTCTAGATCATCAGTAGGCCTTCCCAGCAGGTTCCCGGTCAGTCCTGATGTCCCTGCCCTGCCCTGCATGTGGGCAGGTGGGGGCACCAGGTCACCAGCCGGGCCTGGTTCTTGAGCTAACCTGGCAGGGGCTGAGTATTCTGGAGGAGGCACTCCTAGTTGTCTGCTGCTAAGAGAGGAGGCTCCAGGGCTCCCTCCCCAGCAGGGCAAAGGTGTGGGCAGGGCTCCTTGTGCACAGCACTTGGCATTCTTCCAGGACAAGTGCCAGGAAAATAATTTTTGTGCTGCTTTGAAGCTTCATTTCTTTGACTTACTTGCATGTCTTAGCTTATGTACTTGTTGCTACTTTGGGTTTTAACTAGACCCCTGCCTGGGGAAAAATGGAGACATTCCTTCTGATGATCTTCAGGTCAATGGCCTGGCTATCTTATGAGTCAGTTTCTCTTTGTTGTAGGCTGTGGGTGCAGTGGTGTGTGTGTGTGTGTGTGTGTGTGTGTGTGTGTGTGTGTGGTGGAGGAGGTACAGAGTTGTTTGTTTGTTCTGTGTGAGATTGGGAAGAACTGCTTCCATGCAGCCCAGGATTAAAATTGCCCCTGTCTTGTTGCTTTGGAATCTTTGTTTGTTAATAATGAATTAAACTTAATTTTTGAGGCAGTTGATTAAATTTCGTGACTTTTGAACTTAAAAGATAAATTTCCCCCAAATACTCTTTCATTGTGTCTAAAATAGTCTTAATACATGTAGTTTTACTGAAAAATGTGTGTTCAGTTGGCATTTATATTCTGAATAGTAAGAATATTTAAATCTTGCATTGATTTCAATTTATTGACTGAGTTATGTTTTATAGGTTTTTTATTCTGGTTATTTAGAAGGGAGATATAGTAATGTATTCTATTTCAGCAATTCTCAAATAGGATGATCTAACAGTTTATAAATACTACTATCCTTCCTATGACTTGTAACTAAAAATCTATAAAATTATAAGATACTTTTTATATACAGGGGTGGGCAAATGTAAGTTTATAGTTGTATGTGAAACATTTGTTTATTTTTGTATTATTTATTGTGTTATTTATTTGTATTATGTAAACCTACTTTTGCTCACCCCTGTATAGTTCCTCTCCGTGTATTTCGACGTTATATGTTTAATGATGACTTCAATGCTATATCTGCAGTTTTAATACGAACTTAAGTAGGCTTTAATTTTTAATAATTCTTTATAGAACTACTTTTAGGCAGGCAAAATATGTATGTGTATATAATATATAAACTTAATAATATATATGTTAATCCCCAAGTTGTATTAGGTAAAAGGTATTTCTTAAATTTTCTTTGGGATGAAAAGGTTAATTCGGAAATGAAATAAGCGTTAAGACTTAATGTCTGAGAATAAGAAATCAGTGAACCTACAGGATGTGGCAAAAGTAGGTTTTCAGTTGTGAGCAAGTGAAATATTTTATTCTTGTATTATTATTTTATTATTTTCCTTATGAACAGCTGTGGTCCTGTTTTCGCCCCACCCTTTATATGACAATTCCTTGCTTTGCAGTTCCATTTATGAAGCAGTGTGCTATGGGAGGCCCTGTTTATAATGGAATCAACTAGATCTTTGATCTTAAACTGTTCATAGGTGGTGGTAGTGGAGGGGGCAGGTATAGACAGATGTTACTGCTGGTTAGATTTGGAAGTATGTTAAATGAGTGACCAAGTGACAAAGTGCCGTAGTAGATAAAAGGTGAATTCTGACTGCAGGGTTGGAGATGGCTCCACAGAGTAGAGGAAATTCAAATTCGTTGGGTAGGATTTTTGTGGGGGAAACAATGGGCTAAGAGTCTCCAGGAAGAAGAGGAGCATGGGTATCTGGTACTTCAGGGACAGTTAGTTTTAGGAGTTCATTGTGGCTGGAGTACAGGGTGTAAGAAGCCAAAGGCAGGAGATAAGGCTGGTAAAATAGGTGGAAGGTGGATCTTTGAAAGGATTTAAAATTACTATCAGGTCAGCTTTAAGAAGATCCCAAACCACATTCATTTCTAAATGATGGGCTTTCTCTAAGCCCCACTTGCAGTTACAAATGTATTTCTGTCTATGTTGGAGCCCAAC